CCATTACACATCTTGAATAAAACCTGTTCAAAACAAAATGAAATAGTTTCTTCACATTTTGTATGCATAAGTATATATATCAGGTAATAACTGGATGAAAAATCAAGTTTCTATTAACACATGCCATAGATCAATTGTAAAACCTGAGCTATTGCTATCCTATTGTATTTGAGCTATCAGATTCTGACCATTTCCCCTCAGGGCTTCTTTTCAGTTCCAACTTCTCTCACATCCATGGCTTAGAGCTCTCCATGACCTCTGCTTGTTTCAAAGTCTGCCTTCTGCACACCAGACTAAGTTTTGCAGAGTCTGGGTCTATGTCCACCTTGTCTCCCACTGTGTTTCCTAACCAAGGCCCCTGCCTGCAGCCAAAAGAAGTAGCTCACAGGGCTCTCTCTTCCATTAGAGGGGAACTTCTTGTTCTTCCAAAATTATTATCTATAGAAGTTTTCTCTCCTCATGCCCTGGCTGAACTTCTGGGAATTATCTTTTTGTTTAGTGGCCTCATCCAATTCTAAAATATCACTCAATTCTTCTACAAATACTTATTTTCCTCTAGATACTAATTCATATTTTCTTCTCTATCATTAAGCACATCAATGCATCGTATTTTAAATTCCAATAATTTAAATTTTGCAAATATTTAACCCAATGATACTTGAATAAAAGTTCAGTAATCCCATCACTGGGAATATTCAACTTTTTGCTGACAAGGAAAAGGAACTCTTAAGTTAGAACTTAGGAAATTAAGGACTCATTTAACTGTTAATGATTTTAACACATTTTCCTCTTTTGAACTTAATAATTAATTTTTACAAAATATAATACTCTTTTTACTTATACTTCCATTAAAATGTAAAGCTTGGGAAACAGGCTTTCCATTACCCTATCTTATTTTACCTTTTACAATATACATAATAAAATTTAAATTCTTTTTTATTTTCAACTCTCAGAGAATTTTCAACTCTCTAACAAGTGATTTACTCTATCTGTCTAAGAACTGTTTTAACTGAAAACCATGTTTCACTTTAAATAGGTCATCAAACTGAGACCCTTTAATTGCTAATTAAGGGATAGTACTATCTCTCGAGATGTTTTTCTACATGTGGCTATGAGCTTGTTAGAAGGTTACAGATTATTCTCATTTTTCATTAGGATATTTGCCTTCAATTGTGAGCTTCTTACTAAGTCAACTATCTGCAGAACAAGACAAAATCTGTCAGCCAGTCACTGATAGACTGATGAGCAGAGTCAGAAAAAGTAACTGTAAGAAGAGAAAGGTCCAGACTCACGTTTAGAGAGCAGGTCCAGGCTTATATTTTGCAAAGTCTGGATGAACTTTATAAAGTTCACTAGGAGAAGCTTTGTCAGTCTCAGGTGATTTCTGAACTGCACGCATGATTTTCAAGGGGACTTGATAGATAATAAGAACAACATGGCCATCAGGAGGGTTTGAGCATATTCCCATGGGAACTGTGGCTGCAGATGACTGCTCAAGGCCTCGTCCTGGTTCCTGGCTTCAAACATGTCAATTTGACTTAATCCATCAAGACCAGGCTCTCAATCTTAAACTCATGCCATACAGATGGTGTGAATCATTAAAATCAAAGACTATCTGTAGCTACCAACATATCTTTAATTTTCTTTTCCAAAATGTTCTCATACAATACTGCTAGGAGTAAATTCATGAAACCTGTTGAAAGGCAAAATGGCCTGATGTGTCACTTTCCTAATGAATGTTCAGAGTTTAGGTTAGCAATTATACAACAAAAAAACCATAGATGGAGAAGCCCTGGGCACATAAGAATATTCGCTGAAGGATGTCAAGGTTGTTTACAAGAGCAATACCAGAAATAGGGAAATAAACAGCAGGGGACTAATATTCTGTGCTTGCTCTGTTCTAGCTGTCACTTTTAGCATTTTACATTTGTCAGTGCATGTAATCTGCACAATAACCCTCTGAAGCAGGTGCCATTTCTTTCTCCTTTCTTTAGCTGAGGAAACGCATGTGTCCCGGCTAGTGCTGGAGCGAAGATTTATTTAAACAGTGTACTATCATGTTTTCCCAGAGCCAAACCTCAAAAATTATGTAAAGTGTGTTGTATTTGTAATAATGTAGAAATATATTTATGTTATCATGTTTAGTTAGAAAAAGAAACATGATCACAAATGTAAATATTATTCAAAAGAGAGGGGGGAAAAGGAATAAACCTCTATACTTAAAAAGAGACTCAAAGGTTTAGACAGCAATATAGTATGATCTTTGGGTGGGAGAATTATGATTTTTCCCTGCTATTTTCTACAAAAAAAGTGAGCATAAATTTCCTTTTTAAATGTTTCCCGCTGTCACTCCCATTTCCCTCTACTTCCTTCCTCCTTGTTTGTTTCATACAGGCACCACAAGATTTTTCTTCTAGTCCTTATTTCTCCCACCTTTTACTTCATATCATTTTTTCCTTCTTTCCTTTTCTCTTTCTTCTTTCTCCTGTGTTGCTCCATTCCTCCCCTCCTCATCTCACAAGGCCCCTGAGCAGGAGACAAAGCCCCTTGGCCTCCTGGTGGTGAATGACAGACACCTTTGGCCTCTGTCCTAGCTGCCCTGTCAGTGGTTTCTTTCCCTGCAACACTTTGCTTTTCCTTCTTCTACTAGGAGGCCTGCACTTCTCTATGGAGCATGATGCTGCCTCCAGACAGTCAGATGTCCTCAGGTCAGCCTTTTGCTCTCATAAAAATACCTGGCGGGCAGGCTTTGTGGACTCCTCCCAAGGCTATTTCCATGGTCACAGCCTGATTTTCACAGTAGAAGCAATATTGGTGCCATAAAGAGTGGAGTCAAGAGCCCCCTCTGATCTCCCAGATCATCTATCCTTCCACTGGGATTCAATTCAAGAGCACCTATGAAGCCATAGCTGGTTTGGCTCAGTGCATATAATTGGCCTGTGGACTAAAGGGTCCCAGGTTTGATTCCAGTCAAGGGCACGTGCCTAGGTTGTGAGCTCTATCACCAGTCAGGGGTGTGCAGGAGGCAGCTAATCAATAATTCTCTCTCATCATTGATGTTTCTATCTCTTATTTCCTCTCCCTTCCTCTGTGAAATCAATTATATATATTTATACACACACACACACACACACACACACACATATATATATATATATATATATATATATATATTTTTTTTTTTTTTTTTTTTAAGAACACCTACAAATTAAGCTAAGAAGGAAAAGTGACTAGATTGGAGAAAACATGGCCTGTCAAACAATTCTTCCTTGAATTCCAGACTCATTATTTATAACCTTGATTAAGGAAATGTTTTGTTATTTAAATCTTTATCCCCAGTTAACAAATTTTGTGTCTGTGCCAATTTTCTCCTCAAGTACCTGATAGTGAGGAACACTGGCAGCCTTTAAGTATAAAGCAGTTCCCTTTTCAGAATGTGTTCACCTCACTCCAGTCCTCTATTATGTCACGCCCATCTTACTGCTAGAGTCACTGACCAGTCTCTGCTCTGCCTTGCTCCCTGAGGGAGTTTTGCCCTTCTCAGACAAAAATGCTTACAAGTTACCTGGTCTCCAGCCTCATCAAGTTCAAATGCTAAGTTTAGATTTTATCCCCAAAAAGAAAAAAAAATAAAACATCACTGTTTTTTCTCATTGTACAGGTAATGTGCATTCTTTGCAAACAAATTCTGACAATATACAAAGGTGTGAACAAGAACATGGCAGGCTATTGTAATATTATCTTCCCGAGGGAGTTATGGCTGTTAATCAGTTTTGTTTTTGTTTTTGTTTTTTTGAGTTTTTAAAATCCCACATGTCCAGAAGGCTGTCCCCTTCCCCTCCTGGAGCCCCATAAGCTCATTGCTACTTCTATGACTTTGCTGGGGGTACTCAATCTTCTGCTCTTGTCCCCCTCCCACCCTTGTTTCCAACTCATCTCCAATTTTTAAAATCCAGCTCAAGCCCTTGCTGCTGCATGAAGACTTTCAACCTTACCAATATATACAATGTGTACTCTGGGCCACACAATTCAACCATATCTATGTCTCTTCTGATGCTACTCCATCTCTCCACTTAGATTATATTCTGTCAGGGCACTGGGATTATGCCTCATCTTTTTCTAGAGCTTATTGGGATGGTGGACAATCATAAATGTGTGTCCTATAAATTCATACCAATAAATAAGTGGTTACTTTATTTTTATAGGTTCTAAGCTACAGGCCAATGGTAATTTTTTAAAATATATTTTTATTGATTTTAGAGAGGAAGGGAGAGGTATAGAGAGTTAGAAACATCAATGATGAGAGAGAATCATTGATAGGCTGCCTCCTGCATACTCCCCACTGGGGATCAATCCTACAACCTAGGCATGTGCCCTTGGCCAGAACTAAACCTGATCTGCAGGCCAAAGCTCTTATCCACCAAGCCAAATCAGCTAGGGCTAGGCCAATGATAATTTACATGAATATCTTGAAAATGCTATTAAATCTTTCTTTTTCCCTCCCCTCCTCCCTCACACTTATTCACAGAGTGCCTATGGGTGTCAATTAAAACATGGATTCATCTTTGGTTCCAGTATAAAGTTGATGAGTTGCTGAGGCATTATTTATTCCCTACTTGCTAAAATGCCCCCACTTCTGTAATTAGTCCATCAAGTGCACACCATCCAGGGTGCCTAGAATGATGACATCACCATAAATCAGTGATCAAGTTGTTGGTGTTAATGAATGTCCTTGTGCACCATCTTGGTGCAGAAATTTTTTTATAGATTTAATAAACATTTTGATTCAGTCAAGGGCCATGGAAGGCTCCATGGCAATGAGGGACACCATCCCATGACTCCAGGCAAGAGCCTGTGTGAAAAAGTAAGTGAATGACAGTGGCCAGGATAGAGCCAGGTTTTCTATCCCTATGGTGATCACCTGTTTTCAGACTAAAAGGCATATATATGTATGGACTTTGCAAATTGCTAACCAAAAAGGGTTGCATATTCATGCTCACCTCTCATCACATTTAATTAGAATCACGCTGTCTGTTCCAATGCCCAAGGCTGCAGCTCCCTTCTTGAGAGAAAAATGACTCTGTAAAAAGAGCATATCAGTAATTAGTTGCATATAAAGTAAAAATCCATTCCCTTAGCTATTTTTTTTTCATTTCTCCTGTTTCTAACTTGTTCCTCCAAAGCCTGGATTGCTGAGAGAAGAAGACATCATTCACTTGGGCTTAAAAAATTGTGGTGAAATCTAGATGTAACATAAAATCTACCATCTTCACCATTTAGAAATGCACAATTCAGTGGCCTTAAGTACATTAATGTTGTCGTGCACCCAACACTACCATCCTTCTCCAGAACTCTTTCCATCTTGCAAAACTGGAACTCTGGACCCATGAAACAATAGCTTCTCATTTGTCCCCCTCCACTGCCTTGGAGACCACCATTCTATTTTCCGTCTCTATGAACCTGGCTATCCTAGGAACCTCATGTAAGCGGAACCATGCACTATTTACCCTTCTTGAGTGGCTTGTTTCACTGAGCATAAGGTCTTTACGATTCATCCATGTTGTAGCTTATATCAGAATTCCCTCATTTTCAATGCTGAATCATATTCATTGTATATACACATCACATTTTCTTTTCCATCCATCTGTCCATGGACATTTGAATGGCTACTACCTTTTGTCCTTATGGATAGTGTACATGTGGAAAGCTGTATGAGCATGAGTGTGCAGATATTTTTTGAGCCATATTTTTAATTTTTTGGCATATACTCAGAAGTGAATTGCTGGATCATATGATAATTCTATTTTTGAGGAATTATCTCATACAGCTTTCCACATCAGCTGTACCCTTTTCCACTCTCAACAGCACTGCTCCATGGTTCCAGTTTCTACACATCCTGTCAACAATTATTTTGTAGGTTTTTTTGTTTGATTGTTTGTTTTGAAAATAGTCATTCTAATGGGTGTGGAGTGATACCTCATTATGGATTTGCTTTGCAATGATTAGTGATTCTGAGCATATTTTCATGTGCTTATTGGCCATTTGTACATCTTCTTTGAAGAAATGTCTATAAGCGTCGGCCTGAGGACTGAAGGGTCCCAGGTTTGATTCCAGTCAAGGACATGTACATTGGTTGTGGGCACGTCCCCAGTAGAGGGCGTGCAGGAGGTAGCTGATCGATGACTCTTCTCATCGATGTTTCTAACTCTCTATCTTTCTTCCTTCCTCTCTGTAAAAAATTAATTAAATAAAAAAGAAATGTCTATAAAGTCCTTTGATCACTCTTGAACAAATGTTTTGTTTGTTTGCTTGTTTGTTTGTTGCTACTATTGTTGAGTTCACTTGGACTTTAAGTGAAATACTAAGACCCTGGAAATTGTAAAAGGATCTTCAACTCCAACACACAGTAACCCAAGCCAATTTTATATCTGAGGGGTAAGAACACATCGACTGCCCCCAGCAGCTGTATATGTGTGACTCCCAAACTTATATTTTGCTACCAAAAGATTATGCTCAAGTTTCTCTCAAAATTCAGTGAAATTATGTGCACTCAAGAAAGAGGAGTGATTGGCTTTAAATTCAGCACTTTTGGTCCCAGAATTGTTGGAGGGGCTATTTGTTGTGCAGGTGACTGCCCAGGGGGGGCTGGGCTCCTGAAGGAAGGAGGCATTGGTTCCTGGCTTGGGCAGAATGCTGCATAGAAAAGGCCACACTGACAAGGCACTGCCACATCTTTCTGCTCTTGGTTATTGATTCTGGATAGGAAGCTGAATCTTTTTTTTTTTTTTTTTTTTTTAATGGCTGTATCACTGTGCAATGTGGAAAGCTGAGAGGCTAACCTAAGCCCAGCTGTACTGCATCTGCTCAGCAGCCTCCTACTATTAACTACAGATCATTAAGCTGTCCGAGAGGGGAGCCAATGACTCAATTTACATCTCCAAAGGGCTGCTGGCTGGAATTTTAAGTTATGGTTCCTGAGTGGGCGCTCTTTTCAAAGGCCCACTTTTGACTTATTTGAATTCTTAAACATGCAGCAAAGGAACTGCTATACTTCTAGGGCTGTGTCTCATAAACAAAAGGAAATCACATGTAAAACAGTAGCAAATAATGCAAACCAGTTAACAGGGCACTGAACTGAGGCGTTTTAAAAGCCCAGTGTCCCTGAGAAATAACGAGAAAGGGCCATTAGCCTCATTTTACAACCTCGAAAAGACAAAGTGGACATTTGTTACCAAGATACCTGGGAACTAGGAGAGAAAGCTTAATTGGGTTTGTAGAGATGCATGTCTCCCTCACTAAAAAAAATTAGTGGTCTCTCTTGCTTACGTAGCAGATCCCTAAGCCATTCAGGAAAGGGCGAAACAGCACTAAGTCTCCCTGCTGGAAGGGCACAGAACAGAGGAAACAGCTGCCCCAGTGAGCAAACACAAGCCTCCAATTAGGCCCCTCAGCAAATGAGCTTGTAAGCACTAAACTGCCAAGTGGCAAATTGGGGGTAAGAGATCTGATGCACCTGGTCAATGAGAGAAAGTCCTCTCCTCTGGTATTTAATGAGAAAGGGTAAGGATCCTCAAATGAGGAGCAATTAACCAGGATAATTGATCACTGTACCAAATACCACACACTAAAAGACAAACCCATGCCCAAATAGAAAGCTTGAAGATGGGGAACAAAGGTGACATGAGGCATGAAAAAGAAACCTGGATACTGAACGCGTTTATATTTCAGGAAAGGGAGCAGGGAAATAGCTAGATGTTGTCCACAAATAGCAAGGGACCATAAAGAGGAAGAGACTTGAGAGACAAAAAAAAAAAAAAAAAAAAAAAAAAAAAAAGACACTGCCTAATGGGGAAGAAACAGTGAAGCCAGCTTAAATGGCCCATCTCTTTATGCTGATGGAGAATCATTTGTAATCTTTAGCACCACATCGTTTAGAACCACTTGTTGAGGAACCAGAACACAACAGCAGCCTGGATGCTGAGGAGCCTGGAAACCAAGTGTCTAGAGACATCTCAGAGAATACCTGGTGGTAAGCAGATATAAAGAGGGACATAGGGCACATGCGTGGCCTTTGTTTCTGAAGGGCTATGCCAAAGCACAAGTAAAGGAATAGCCAGACTGGTCTGGATGGCTTCAGAAAGCAGAACAAAAATTGGAAGCTATAAGGATTCACATGTGTCCCTCAAATCATCAAGACTGTTACAATAATCAGTTCATCGATGGAATAGCTGCGGAATGAGCTAATGAATAGTCCTCTGACCCCCTGCCTCCCTGATTTTGGAAAAAAATAACAATAGTCCCCTTGTTAGAATCTAGTGCTTATTTAGAACAAAATCATGTTTCAATTCAAGGGTAATAGATGTTAAAACCTATATGTTTTTAATATATACTATATAAAGATTAATTTACTGGTATATTTTAATAAAATAGCATTAATCTAAACACAGGGTATATGTTTCAGTTGACATTTAAAATGTGCAAATAAGTATGAGATTTTATAGTTATGAAATAACTGTAAGTGAAAAGTAAGCAGGGTTTGAGTGTGTTGAGATTGTCCAACAGTGAGAATGTGTGAGGATGAGAACCCACAGGCATGAGCTCCATCATTGTATGCAGCCCTGGTGCAGTAAGTCTTACCTGTCTTTAGAGATGGTGGGAGAGTAAGGAGATGGTGAAAAGTTCTGAAAGAAACCAGGTCAGTCCTTTGACATGCTTTTTTCTCTTCCTCTTTACAATTTAGATAAGCGGTTTGGAAAGTTGCATTAATTCTTTCAAGCCATTGTTAGTCACATCCAGATACTTATTGTAGCAAATAGTTAATAAATATTTGTTGAATTGAACTACCTCCACTCTTCCCAGTCTTCCCCTTCCTTAGCTTTGACCAAATTATTGTCTCACCTGTCCAGAATGATTTGGATCAACTGTTCAAAAAGACACAGAAGTTCTTTCAATAAATTTGGAAAACCCCCTCCGGCTCAGCCCTATCAGATGAGAAGGTGTTTTCTTTGGAGGAGGTAACAATGTACCATCACTTTCACATTAAGAAAAATCTCTTGGTGGAAATTTTATTTGGGAAGGTAGAAAATGTTAAATCAGTTGATGAACTATGGTGTACAAAACTTTGTTGCTGACACTTTTAATCTGGTTTCTATATTAGTAATCGAAGCAGGGACCTCACTGGTCTGTGAGTCAGGAAATTCATTAATCCTATCTCTGTCTACGTAGCTGACTGCAGCCTCTCCATTTGTAAAATATTGATAATAATCTCTGGTCTGTCTGTTGCACAAGATTGTTGTGAGAATCAAATGAACTAATGTAATTGGAAATGTGTTGTAAACAGTCTAATAGTTACCAGATATAAGGTATTATACATTAGAAAAACAGTTCATTTGTCAAAAATAAACCTTTAGAATCAGTTGGTATTTTAGTGTAGGTTTATAATTCAAATGTTATTTCATAATTATGTATGTGGATAGAGACCCAAAAAAGAGAAGGGAGAATGAAATGGTTATTGTATTACTGAATTACCTTGCTTTCCTTAGAAATAAAGAATTAGACTCCAAGTTTGTGATATCAGAAAAATAAGGCATAACAAAATCATTCCCAGACTATATGACCCACGCTTTCTGGGTAAGGTTAATCCAATTTGCATGAAGCTTGAGCCCAACTCATTCAGAAACCTGAGAGCACAAGGCAGATTGTTGGTTAATCAACCTCATTTCAGGTTGTGTAATCGGTACAGAAACCAAAAGAAAAAGATACTCAATATATCATCTGGGATTTTTGAGACCGAGAATATAGTAATATTTACCTATGTAGGGGTCCAAATCCACTGCAGGGAATCAGTAATTAGAAAATATTGCACCATGTTTTTCCATCTTTTTAAAAGCTGAGAAATGAAAATTAGCTGCTGATATGGGTACTAGGCTTAGTAGAATGAACATTGTCTTCCTCCCCAAGGATGCCCATATCCCAATCCCTGAAACCTGGGAATATGTTACCTTACATGGCAAAAGGGATCTTTCAAATGTGATTAAGTTAAGGATCTTGAGATGGGAGATCACCTGGGTTATCTGGGTAGACCCAAGTAATCATAAGGGTCCTAACTAGGGAAAGTATGGACAAGGGAGTCAGAACCAGAGAAGGAGGTGTGGTGACAGGAACAGAAGTCAGAGTGAGCAGAGGGAACGGGTGCTCCCCTGACACCTCCAGAAGGAGCCCAGCTCTGCTCACCCACATTCCATTCTGACCTCCAATGAAGTCATATTGTCTAAAGCCACTACTTTATGGTAAACATAACTAAAAACAATGGCTAAAGATGATTTGTTAACATAAGTCAGTTTTTTTTGGTTATGAATTGTACTCACTGGCTTCCAGCCTGTACTTGCCCTTCATTTCCTTGTTATAACACACACATACAGACACACACACCTTTCAACATAAAAAGAGAAATTCTGTAGTAGAACTGAGGCCCCACTATGATTTCCTGCTTCTCCTGCCTGACATCTCTTTCAGGAACTTCTGTTTCCCTATAAAACCCTCTCTGCACTCCCCATTTTCCATTTCTCTACCATCAAAGGGCTACTTGATCTTTGAGGCAGTTGTTTTCAGATGTTGGGCTACTTTGAGGAAAGGTTGTGATGGAGCAGTCTTAGGTATGTGATAGGAAGCAGGCAGCCTAGCAGAGCTGTTAATTCCATTTACATGAGCAGGAAGGGCAGTTGTTGCAATGCCTTGGTGGCATTAGCTCTTTGAAGGAAGGAATATGAAATACTACTTCCTTGAATTCAAGATGGCATCCAGCCTGGTGGTAAATAGGTGTCTGTGCTTGGCTGAGAGATCAGATATGAGAGATCACTATGCCATTTCTCTACAATGATAAAATCTCTGGTTAGGTTAACATTAAAGTGGTTCAAGGTATCATGAGGGTTGGATATCTGGTCAGAATTTTTAAACACAAAGACTGTATCAACAGGTTACGTTGGAGTTATGTAGGTGCAGTAATATCCATAGTCCAAATGGGTTCACAGTCAGTCTGCTTTCTCTCCTCCTACCCTTTCCCAACATACAACATTATTACTAAAAAGTGAAATGTAGGAACTGCAGGTAAAACATCCTGATTTCTCTTTGAGTTTCCCTGAATTTCAAAGAGAAATGCAAACTATTGTACCCACTCAGCTCTTCTCTTCTTTAATTCTTTTCCAAAAAGTATCGTTTGGAAAGAGAACTTCTGGGGATAAAGCATTTCTAAATATCATTTTATAAACCCAGACTTTACAAAATAGAAGGTTAAACTTGGAAAGAACAGAAACACGTACATGCTCAGACGTGAAGGCAATGAGCCTAGGAACAGCGGCCATCCCTTTCTCCTTGACTTCTGGGAACATCTTAAAGCGTGCGATCAGCATGGCATACATGTTAGATATGGCGCCACCTAAGGTGCACAGCAACACATAGTTACCCTTTCTAGTCATTATCAACATCATTTCACATGCAAGCCACATTTCCATTTCCAGTGACCCAGAGTTCTCCCTGGATGCAGGAGAAGAACTTCTTATTGGCTATCCTTGAACTGAATACTCAGACTCAGGCACTAGATAAGAGGTCCAGAGAAGGAGCATTGGGCCCAACCATGGGACAGATGTGCTCCCTCCAAACCCATCTTTGTCACTATGAGGAACTGCAATTGATTCCACTCTTTGAAGCAGCATTAAAGAACTAAGAAATTGTCACCTTCTTTCCTGGCTTGTGAGTGCATTCTGCATGAGACCAGGAAAATCTTACTTATATCCTCATGTAGAAGACATTTCTTTTCATTTCAGCTCATACAAATGCCTTGCACTTGAACTGCTACAAATCAGTTGCTAATCAACAATTCTTACAGAATGAGAATATACATCCAAGCCCATCTCATCATACTCATTTGTTAATTTCCCCTAAATTGTTCTTCCTTCTTAAAGATATTATTAAATGTAATTGTAATGGTTTACAAAATCTTATTTTATAGTTATGGGATGACATGCAACTAAGGAAACTTTAAGTTCACATTGAATTATTTTTCTGTGTCATTCTCAAACCATCAAGAATTTCATACAATAAAGTTTGTATCTAATAAGTAGAGTTGATGTACAAAGAAGAGTGAACTTTTCCACAGGATTGGTGGAAAGGTTAGGATTTTTACTATCCAGAAAAAAATACAGATTCTTCTGCATGAAAATGAATATGTGGGCATGGAAACTGTGAGATCAAAATCATGAGGCAGGGCAAAGGTACTATCTCCCCCTCACCCAAAGGGGGGCAGGCCCAGGCCCTATCATTATGTGAGCACTTTGAGTTTTCTTCCCTTCTCATGGCTGAAGAGCACATGAGCCCTCTGTATTTAGTTGAATGGCCTACACAGGGGACAATCTTTGACACAAGCAGGCAGCCTGACACACAGCAGTCAACAAGATCCTGGCTTTGTCATCAGTCAGAATGAGGACGATTCCTACTTCTGGACCCCAGAGACATGGGGCAAGCAGTATCTATCTAGGTCAAACCTGCTCTGAGCAGACACCCTTTCTAAAAGTCTGACTGTGTAGAATGCTTTTGGAAAATGGAGCAGCTTTTAAAGAAACATGCACTCTAGCTATGGTTTCTTAATTCTGGTGCGTAATGATAGTTTGGGTTAGATAATTACTTATGGGGGCTTGTCCTGGACATTGCATGGTGTTTAGCAGTATCCCTGGTATTTATCTACCAAATGCCAACAGCACTGCTCCCCGAAAGTGATAACCAAAAAATGTCTGCAGACATTGCCAAGTGTCCCCTGAGGGAAAACTCTGGGGGCAAAATTCTCCCACTGAGAACTTCTGTCCTCATTCTTCTCAGACAGGCCAGGGAGAAAGGAGAGCAGAAGACAAATAGAGAGTCAGCCTGTGGCCTTTGGACTGAAGAGTCCCAGGTTGGATTCCATTCAAGGGCATGTACCTTGGTTGCAGGAACATCCCCAGTAGGAGATGTGCAGGAGGCAGCTGATCAATGTTTCTCTCCCATCAATGTTTTTGACTCTCTATCCCTCTCCCTTCTTCTCTATAAAAAAAAAAATCAATAAAAAATATATATTTAAAAATCAATAAAAATATATTTTTTTAAAAAAAGAAAGTTCATGTCTCAGGACACTTGTCTAAGAGGTTTCTAGCTCTGCTTCCCACTCTTCGGTTTGCACCTCAGTCATTCTCTGTCATGTTAAGCATCCCGGAGAGAGAAGAGCCTCTGCCCAGAGCAGATTGCGTTGGGCAGCACAGGTAGGAGGATAGATGCATGAGCCCTGCATGCTCTTATTTCCATAAACCTTCAAGAGAAAGGATGCAAAAGCAAGCACCAAATTATTCTGAAAACCTTGTGGATAGAAAAGGTGTGTGACTGAGCCAAGCCTTTCCTCTTTCCCCCTCAATCCTTCATGACTTGTCAGTGCTGAGCAATGACAAGTGCTTGGGTCTCTGATTGTCAGGCACAGGTGACATAACATAGACCGATTTCTTCTAGAAGTCCTAAAGGACTTTCTGTGAAACACAAAGCCTCTGGACTTTATAGATGGAGGCGTAAGGCAAATGGCTGAGCTATATATTCAGCCACAGACCTAATTCTTCATGTTTAGTCCCAGGCAACAGGACTTTCAGATCTCAGGCAGGTAATATGTGTGAATTCCCCCTTTCCTCACCCCTTAAATTGTAAGACCCTCTACTTCAGGAATAAGGCTGACTGCTACCTAGAAAGACATGTAGTAGTGATTCAGGATGCTATCAACCTTTCTTCTATAATGTCTATAAAGAGCAGAGAAGAAACAGGTTGCTAATGGCTTTTCTTCTGTACCTTCCCTACTTTGCAATGTCTGCATTACATTGTATTATAACATGGCATCAATGGCTTCTGTTTTAGGTCTTTGAAACCAAGGAGATCAAGCTTAAATCTTGTCTAACCCATTTTCTTGATCATTTACTGTCATTGATGAGGGTATTGGGAAAGCCTTAAGTCTATATCTGGCTTAGCACACCTGCCAGAGACAATGCCTTCTCTGGGACAGATGGGTTTCAAGACCAGCCAGGTAAATTAGGCCTATCTCAAGCCCCTTTGGTCAACATTTTAGAGTTCACATGGCCAGCAGTTAGCACATGTTCACCCTGCCCTCCTGGGAACCATTAAAGTAGATCCTGGGATGCTCCTGGCTCTCTCAGGGACAGCTCAGTTATGCAACTAACCTTATAATAGGAGAAAGAATAAAGGTAGAAGTGATGCTGATCTCTGAACCCTATCTAATTGCTCATGAAAAATACCTTAAGCCTTAAGAGCCTTAAGAACTTAAGAGCATCAGTTCCAGGCAATTATGACAAAGTTCCCTCAGTAGGGGATGATTTCCCAGAGGAAAACAAAACAAAACAAAAACAAAGCACTAACTTTTCTACAAATAAAGGCTAGCTAAAAATTCTTCACAGCTGGCATTCAATGACTTATAAAGAAAAGGCTAATTTTTCCCTACAATTTTACTAACAGGTTTTCCTTCAGCACTTGAAAAAAAAAGTGCTATAGCTTTAAAAAACATAAAATAAAATAGCAGATATGAGCTTTAGGTAAAGCTGCTTGATTTTAAGCCTACTGTTGCTCATTTATCATTTTTTTCCATCTGCTTTTTTATTTTCTCCCTCCCTCATTATCCCCTTGTCTTTGTAGATTTGCTGGAGAAACATCACAATGTGGCCTTTGCTAGGCCTGACACAATCTGGGGGGTGAGGGGAGGGCGCCCACCCATTATAATGACCTCCTTCTTGCACTGATTAGTTAATGATCTGCGCACCGGGTTTCTTTTCCATGGGTCATTGACTCTTTTTTTTCCCACTGCCCTCCTAACTTCTGTTTCTTTTCTGCATCAAACCAAGGTCACACACACAGGTGCCTGGACAAGCACACACACTGGGAAGCAAGCACAGGCCTTTGTTTCAGGTTGATTCTCTTGGCTGAAAGAGGTGTAAATAACTGGAACTTAGAATGCAATGGAGGGTGAGAAAAGCCAGGATGAGAGAGATTGAATGGTTTGATAAAGAAGAGAAGGAAGGAGAAAATTCCTGAAGAAATCATTACCCTCCCCTTTAGTTCTAACAAACTGCCTCAATGGCACTTTCCACCCTCCTTGAAATTAGTGTAAATCAGCTTGTTGCTTGAGAGGAACAGGATTCTTAAGGATCTAATAAGTATCTGCCTATCATGCATTCTCAAACAGAGAATGGCTTTATTAAACGAGCTGCCTTTTTCCTTTCTCTAATTCTGGGAAGAGCATCAGAGGGTGAATTCTCTTATTAGGCATCTTTATTTTTTTGTTCCACATGATGCATACATCCTGTGTGTGGGAGCCCAATAGAAGTCCTGAGTAAATATAATCTTTGTTTATGCTCTCCTTAAACCAAAATAACTAATGTTCAAGAATGGGATAGTTGGCTTAGAGGCATGGCCAATGGTCAAATGTACTTAATGACACTCATTCTTTTTATCAATATACAGACTATTGAACTTAAACAGAAATACAAACATGGTATTTAAGACTTCCCAGGTTCATAATAGGGCATTGCATACCAGAAGAAAGAAACACAAAGAAAAGTTGAAATGTCATATACCAGGAGAAAATATTCCATCGCCAGAGCCACCTGGCCAGCCAATGATTTCTCTCATTTTCTTTAGGGTGACATATTCCAAAAGTACAAAGACTGGAGCAATTTCATAGGTGAACCTGAAATGCAGTAATGGCCACATTTTATTTATGTAACTCAAATAAATAATTCACCACTATAGTATCTACAAAACTTTTTCCTTTTTTCAAACCCTGCATTCACAAATGTTATGGTTATATATGAAGTAGGAAAAAATATGTCTTCTAAAAGGTTTGCTAACTTTTCTATGTTTGTAAAGTTAAGAGCTTCAATTATTGGCTTAGTGCACAATGGTCATTTATCATTTATATATAGAAAAGCCTAAGCAACCATTTGACTGTTCTACTGTTAGCTATGACATATACTGACTACCGGGAGGCAGACACTCAATGCACAGGCATGGAAACATGGAACATACTGATGAATCTCAGAGGGAAGGGATAGGGGAGAGAGAAGGAAGAGATTATCCAAAGATCTTATATGCATACTAGAGGCCCAGTGCACAGATTAGTGCACCACAGTGAGGTTCTCCTGCACCTCTCAAAATCCAAAACCCCTGGGGGACTTCAGACTGTCAGTTTTAGCTGGATCTGTGCAGGCCAGGCCGAGGAACTCCACTGGTGCTGGAATCCATGCACTGGGCCTCTAGTACTGAATAAATAAAGAACATTGCTGAGTAACATTATTTAAAAGATAACATCTAACCTCATTTGTCTTTTACAGTATACATTATTATAAATCTAAAATTCAAAAAGGTCCCTTTTTGTATTTAAAAAAATGTTGTATAGCTTTGCATGAAAGTTATATCAACACTATATTCTATTAAGTTAGAGTGAACAGCAATGTATGTCTGATATCCATATCACTATTTAAGGGGCTACTTAATAAAAGAGATTTTCACATGAGAAGTAGAATAAAGACTATTAAGCTCCACTAATAATTTATCCTTGATTACACAAAAACATATTTACCTACTTACATGTTAGTGTTTGCTGTTGATGTCAGCCAGTCTGCTGCTAATCCAACCATATCCAGTCCAGTGGAGAGTTGATTGAAATATCTGGGATGCCCTGAATAAAATGGATGCCCAGAATCAGGACTGCATTCAATGAAAATTAATGCCTCTCAAACACATAATTTCTCTTGCTAAAGAACCTTGAAAGATCCTATAGAAGTAGGAAATCTATATTCAGAAACCCAATATGCATGCATGCACGCATCCTCCCCCCACCCAAAAAAAGGAACATTTCCTCTAACAAAAGAGATCATTTTGGATTTTTAGTATTTCTAAATATGGTCCTTAAATATTCTCTATTAAAATAACAAATGTGGTCTGCAAAATGGAAAAAATGTACTAGCATTTTTTCAGTAGATTTGTAAACTACAGTGCTTGTATAATCCGAAGCTATACAGAGACAGTCTTTTCTTGTTTACACTGGTGTTACTAAAAATCCTTTTTTGTGTGTGTGTTGAAGCTGTTCTGGAATCAGTCATACCATGACATCTGCCAGCAATGCCAACATTCATAATGATATCAGTGACAAATGGCTCATGATTACAAAAGACAAGGCAAAAATGAGAAAATAGAACATTCTCTTGAATGATTTGCCCTTGATTCAAAAGGTAATGATTGTCTAAAGATGGCATGGAGAAACCTAATTCTTGTCAATTCTTTTCTGTCCAAATATTTAATTATAAACAACAGAACTCCTTCATAGCTGTGATTTAAAATAAAGAGGAATACAGTCAACATCACTGTCTTGTCAGCAAGATACATGAAGATATAGTCAATGGACCGATCAGTCCATTAGCAAGGCTTATCTAATTAATTTCTGGATTTCTCATAGACTCTCTAAAGGGGGTTGACATCCAAATACTCCTGAGGCCATTATTTTAAATGTGATGGTAAGTATCTCATTAGAATTCCACTTCTGTGTCTTGCCTCATAAAACCTATCTATAAATCTGTGATTTGCTTAGCAGCAAAAAATTTGGGAAGATGAACAATTATGGAAATAGCGTCTGATAAAAAGGCACCTGCCACTTACTGGACACCTGTCTGAAGCCTGGGGATGTGATAGTCTCTCGTGCCAGCATGGGCAAAACACGATTTAAAAAGGCAATGTAGAAAGCAGGGATGCTATCTCTAGGACTGGAGTGTGCTCTTATCAGCAGCAGGCATGTGGCTAGACAATTAGATGCTGAGAAAAGATAGGAGCCAGGAAAGAAAAGAGCACATTTGAAAGAGATTGGATTTTTGTGCAGCTCTCTACCCCGCCTCTACCATTGCTTTGCCTCCCTTTGGCCTTGCACAGTGCTCTCTATCTTTTTTTTTTCTCTTTTCCAGGCCCCATGATGCTGACCCTGTCATTTTGTGCATCCATGGGAAGTGAAAAAAGCTTTCTTTGGGTTCCACCACTGCCCCCTGGAACAACCCCCCACTCCTCTCTGCCTCATTGACTCCCCATTTCATTAGAGCTCACAGCTGAAACCACAGTCCTCTGCTCCCACCTGGTGCCCCTGCATTTCCCTTTCCTTAGCCCATTTCTTTAAAGCGAGGAAATTAATAAGGATTAGCAAATCTATCTGTTCATCTACCATACCGATTCACAGACATTTTCTCCTTGAACCTGGTGTTTGCTAGCACACACTATTTAACTCTAAGGAAACTTTAGCATGAAAACATCGGCATAAAATTGAGAGGGTGTCCAAGGTCCGTGTTGTGGTCCAGAATGTCAGAAGACCAGTTGCCTCTGATGACTGCCTTTGGGAAATGGTGGGAACAAAGTTGAAACTTCAGTGGCCCATCTCCCTTCTGTATTTCTTTTTTGGCCTTGGTCGCCCATTTTCCCTGAATCTCTTGTCCCTCAAAATGTTTATTTCCTGATAATGATGTGAAAATATAGAGGGTGATAGTTTGACAGATCAAAACAACATGATCTTTTGATTTCTGCAGAAATATCATTTTGCTCCCTTCAAATGACCTTTACAAGCTGCAGGTAATCCAGGCAGGGCTCTCTGAAAGAAGAGTGAGAGACCTTCCTTGGAGCTTGCGAGTTGTCCTGACAGCCCTGGCATCCAGCTGCTGCTGCTGCTGCTGCTGCTGCTGCTGCTGCTGCCCCCACAGGGCTCTGTGTTGGCAGGCTCTATGCCAGGAATCAGGTGACCAGGATAGCCTGAGCAGCCAGTGTTACAGTGAGTTTGAAAGATGAGATTAGAGCCTCTCCAGGCTCTCGAATGCTCCCCACAGATTAGCAAATGAGAAGGAAGGATGCACAGACTGCTTGTCTAAAATCAGTTGGGGAGGGGCCTTAAATCCTCCAAACTGTTCTCTTTGTAAGGGTAACATGCACAGAAGGAGGTCTCACTTTCTAACCCTTGAATTCCCTTTGACTGAAGGTTTAGTTAAAGGATTCAAGATATTTAACCCTTCTATCACCCAACCATTACCACCACCACCAAATCTAAGGACCCCCACAAATGCTAATTATTCCAGGATTCTTATTATTTTTGCAGTTTTGGGTCCTAGTATTTCTTACGGAGGTAATTTTATCAAAACATAAAGGCATTATTTCTCCACTGCTCCTCACTCCACTCAAAGCTTGAATCCCAAGTGGAAATTTAGGTTAATGGCTCTCAATAGAAAGCAGGTGATAATATGCATTTTTTAAAAAAAACAATCTCCTGAGAAGCATAAAAATGCTTAATGTAGCAGGGTAGTAATTACTTTACAGACCCTAAATAATACTTTCTGTCAAGTTATAGCATAAACTCCTATAACTAACAAGGTTATAGGAGTTTATGCTATAAAGAAGATGACTGTTGTTAATTCTTTGAAATGCTATTTGAGGGTAAGGAAGAAGAGTATGTATGTCATGAATAATATTGATATTGAATTAATATTGAATTAATATAAATATGCCTTGCTTAAAAATCCAATTTAATCAATCGTATTTTTCCTGAACTTTAAATAACACACATGAGAGCTATACTTGCCCAAAAGAGATAAAAACATTTTAGTAAAAATCAAAGAAGTGAATTTACCCATGTTTTCCTGACACTAAATGGAATATTGACAGAGTTACTTCCATTGACTTGCATTTCCTATTATCTTGTCTTTAAATTGTATTTCAGACACCACCAGATTTTAAGGAGAAAGATGTGAAACATTTGTATAGATTCTTTTTGGTTTGGTAGAAAAAAAAATAGGTAGCATTTTACTATTAACATTTAAATATTAAGTTAAGGGAATGGGTTAAACAAAAAAAAATGAATTAAAAGCATTGTTCAGGTTTGTACTTACAGATACATGAAAAACTGGGAGAAAGAAACATCTTTAATGCCTAGTATATAAATCATGTGGATTCTCTATGAACATAACTGAGAATAATATCCAACAAGCCTTCAAAACCATACTGCACAGATGGAATTTGATAGAAATCACCAAACTAAATTCCTTTCCCTATATATCTAGTCCTACACCTATAGTCTCACAAAAGTGGATACCAATGATTCAGTAAATTGATTTCCTAAGGTTTCTTCTATGCATACATTTCCTCTGTTGGTTTAAAGAATGTACAAAGAACACCCCTCCACCACACACACATACACATGCACACTCACACACACAAAGAGCAAAATCACACAGCAGACATTTTTTAAATGTTTGTTGTTGATTAGAATGATATGGGTCAAATTTAACTCCAAATCAATTAGCCACAAATCAATTTAGAGCCACAAGTTCTCTCTTTCCCCCTGAAAATTCAGTCATTTTTATTGCTCTAATGAAGTATCAGGATGATTAGAGATGATGTAGAAAAGAAAGGAATAATCATGACCTGGGAGATGAATAGCTAATTTTGTGTAGACAAAATTAAAACTTAAAATGCACCCAAACAAATGGTACACCTGGCACTATAAAATGGATAGAAGGTAAAGAGTACTGTGAAAAAGCAATAAATTTGCTCCTAAAGATATCTGATTTCCTTTACCCCAATCCACTACCCTCCTTATCTTATATACAGAGTGACTATGAAGTGCACATTTTGTATAATATGGCTAAATTGTTAAGGTAGTTTGAATTGTGTTTTCTTTTGTGTAAATTTCTTTGAAAACAGAGACAAACTGGAGTTCAAATCTAAAGTGTTGGCCATTTGAGACAATGCAAAAATATTATCCCTCTGGATCAATAATTACATAGGTTGCTTTGTCCAAATTCTCACCCTTTCTATGCCAAAGTAATTATTAGCATTTGGGCTTTGTTTAGATCATATTTTTTGAGCATTCATTTTCATACCCCCCTCCTTTTTTTGTTTTTTTCTTTGCATTTTGGGTCCTAGCTACTGGCCTCTGCTGAAAAATGCTTGTTTCTATATCGGTGGTTAATCTCTGACCAAATATGTGCAATGTAAAATATGACAATTTATAATTATATAATGTTTTGACATTATCAACTTCAGAATCATTAACACTAATAGTAAAGGGTGCTTTTGATTATAAGATCATTCTAATAATGTCTATTTTTTAAATGATGAAAAATTTTTTAGACTTGAAAATATCAGTAACTCCAAAAAACAGAAAGTATTTTATAGCAAAAATAAAGATTGTGAAAGAAAAAAAGAGTTTTATTATTTCTGACGGGACAATACCTGTTTTAATGGCATATTTTAGAGTTGTTTGGCAATGCATCAAAATTTCCTCCAAATTTTGTGGTTGGTCTGCCAATTCCCAATTATATTCTTGAAGAAGCTCATTAGGGTAATGGAAATCAATCACTTTGGTTGATCTATCGAAACTTTTCACCACATATTGAAGCAAAATATCCATAACATCCTGCAGGAATGCCAAGGTGGGTCTCTCTCCATCACAGGCTGGCAGTAGGTCTAAGGAATGGAATCAAAATGCCACATTTTACTTTATTTTTTAAAAGGTAGAATTAATTTTAACAATACAGTATCTTATGTAACCCAATATGTCCAGAATACTGTCATCAAAATGCCACATTTTAATTTTACTATGAAAATACCCAGGCAAGATCTGATCCAGCAATTTCTGTATCAACTGGTAATCGTATGTTTAAAAAAATCTGGAAACGCAGAGCATTTTCTTTCAAAGAGGAAGGAATGAGAGAAATTAATATTTCTCCTCACCCCCCACCCCAAATGAATTCTTGCATTTCAATTCTAAACTTCATTGCTTTCTTTTTAAAACAGAATGTGCCTCTTCACAGGGGTTCTTCGGAAACGTTATTTCTCAGTAAACCATTCCACGGGGTTATGGAAATTGTCCACCTCAAAAGTGTTTGAGGAACCAACGCCTTTGGGCAAACCAGACAAAGCGGAACATGGGAAGTAGGAACTCGGACCCATTAGAAAGGCCAGCTGTTTCTAAGGTCACTGTGTGTGTGTGTGTGTGTGTGTGTGTGTGTGTGTGAGTGTGTGTGTGTGTGTGTGTGACGCGCGCTTTTTGGATGACTAAGTATGTAAATGGAAGGGAGCAAAACCGCTTGCAGTTCTCACGTGAATAGAATCAATCGTTCTCCTGTGAAATCGCAGCTACAAATTACTCTTGAGATCTAAAGACAGTCTTTGCACTTCTGACCTGGAAACTGAATCCCACCGGAGGCCTCACCAACACCAAGAAGCCGACCAGGAGCTCCCGGCGCGAGGACACCGAAGCCCTTTCTAACCTGGGCGCCTGGCACCGAGCAGAGGCTGGGGTTGGGTCTCAGACCCGGGGCAGGCCCTGCGTGCCTCACTTTTCAGTTGAAGCTTCTACTAAAGTCATCCTCCGCCCTCCATCTGGAAGCCAGCGGAGGGTTAAGCTCGCTGTGCGGGATTGTGCACTGGCAGAGCCTCCGGCACTGGCTCCAGGGGCCCAGCGAGGCCGCGCCCTTACCTGTTGCGTGCAGAAATGCATAGTTGACATCCGCTTTGGGACAGCTGCAGGGCTTCTGGTTGCAAGCGCAAGCGGCCTTCTGGGAGGTGGCCTGCGGGGGCTCGCTCCCGCCACTCTCCGCTGGCTTTTCGGCGTCTCCGTAGAGCAGAGCTGGCAAAGACACCGGAGCGCGGATTTCGGTCAGCTGCTTTCTGGACCCGGCTCCTTAGCCCTTGCCCACTCCGAACCGAGTAACCCGGACTCCGCAGCTCAGGATGCAGAACTGAGAAGGCAGCTTTGCGCCTGGGCCCCGAGGCGCCCAGTCCTATTGCCTCCCACCCCGAGATACCCGCACTCACCGCACAGCTTGTTTCCGATGCCACCAGTGAACTTCTGGGCCACCTGACACCAGGCTCTCGCTGTGGGGAGGTTGGCGAGGCAGAAAGAGAAGAGCAGACAGAGGGACGGGCTAAATTTCGTTCTTTGGAAACAGTGTCAATAAACCTGGCGTCCCGGAAGGGGCCGCACGGGGTTTGGCACGGGGCGGGGGGGGGGGGGGGGGAAAGCAGGTGGGGGAAGTGCGCGGGGATCTGGCGATCCCGCCCGACCCTCGACCCTCAATTTTCTGATTCTTTCCCCGACGTGAAGCCCACACCGCGGCTTCCAGAGGCCAGTCGGCTCAGGCCAACTCCTTCCCTTCCTGCCTCGCGCAGGCGAGTTTTCCTAGACACCGAGCTTGTCCCTTTCCTAGCAGGCTCTCCTTTCAAACCAACAATTCTCTCCCTTTCCCGATGTGTCCTTTCCCCACTGCAACTCGGTTCCTCTCTAGGATCCAAACACCAAGATGGTGGCAGTGTCCCAGGGCTGAGGAATTGAGGGGTCGAGGAAAAGCCTCCGAGGAGAAGGCTCGCCCAGACTTCTGCGGAGCGGACCCGGGATTCTTGGGGCGTCTTCTTAGGGGATAAGGACCTGCGGGCCTTTAGGTCTCTTGGGCCACCAAGGACCTACCCCGAAAGGAGGACGAAGCCGCTGAAGTTTCCCATTGCAGGTGGAAAAACCTCCTTCCTCTTCGCTAGCTCCGCAAACCCCAGCCCACCCTCAAAGCTCGCCTGCTACAGGTCCAGATTCTCCTACCTGTGCTTGGGTTTTCGGGATCCCCGGAGCCATCTTCAGACCCGAAAGACCAAAAGCTGGAGCCCGGAGATGCCATCGGCGCTGAGAGACTGGAGCAGATCGCCTCCGAGTGCAAAGTGCGGGCGAGCTGCCCTCCGCTGGGTCCTGCGCGCGCGTGCGTGTGTGCGCGTGTGTGTGCAAAGAGGAGGGCAACGCACTGGGGCCCGCGCAGCCGCTGGTGGGTTTCACTCAGGGATAGGAAACGTGCGTGTTTGGTGGGCGTGTGTGTGTGTGTGTGTGTGTGTGTGTGTGTGTGTGTGTTGGAGTTAGGGCTTGGAGATGTGGCGGCCACGCTCTGAAAGCCTAGAATGTTAAATAGGGAAGGCTCAGAGCCAGGAGAGGGGAGAGCGCAGAGCGCCTGAGTGATTTTGAAGGCGAGGGAACCCGAAGCGGGTGGATGAGCGGGCGGCGGGAGTGAGCTGAATCAGGATGGGAGACTGACAGTGCTCAGGAGCTGGAGTCAGAGTGAGTGGGTGGGAGGGAGGTGTGCGGGCGTGCTCCCTCAGAGGGCAAGGCGGGAGGCAGCCGGCTTCGCCTCCCCGCCGGGCCCAGGTGCACTGTCCAGGGTGCTAACGCGGTTGACTTCGCGCTGCCCTCTGGCAAGGGCGGACTAGAGACTTTGGAGCGGTGGGAAGGCTGGCGGGGAGCAGTTTTACCTTCCCTGGGGTTAGCCTATTGTTTGAGGTCTGGTTCCCGCTGCGGAGGAGGACGCGCGGTTCCCGCCCCGCCTTCCTTCAAGTGGGTGCTAGGGTCGCTGTGACCTCGAGAGCTGAGCGACAGGGCCAGAATCCGGAGCGGTTCTGGAGCTCGGAGAGTGGATGGTGGGGGAAAGGCGCCTATGCGTTAATGGGCTCATTTCAGCTTCTTAGTAGCGCCTAATGCCTGCCTACTGAGCCGGGAGATCCCAGGCGGAGCCCCAGTCCTGGGCTTTTGAGCGCGCTGCAGCCCGACCCATCCACCATCCAGCTTCTGACTGATGGATGGGGAAAAAGACTGCCAATTGAGGCAATTAAAATCCTTGCTGGAATCCACCTTAGTCTATCACCCACCCAGGACCTAGGGCTGGAGGAAAAAATAAAACGAATGGGAACTTCTTGGAAGGGGTGTGAGGAAGAGCAGAGAGGGAGAGCAGCTAGGATTGGCTGGATTGACAGTTGATGGGGGATGGATGGGATCAGGTCATTTGTGACCTTGGCCGGTGGAGGCGCAGAAAGGCCGTTTCTTACATGTGACAGAAGTCGGTGGGTGCGTTGGAGACATGCACAGAAACCCCTGTACAATCTGAGCTTTCCATATCAGAGGCGGAAAGAAGGCATCTCCTGCTGGGCCCTCTTTTTAGCGGGTCTCAAACCAATGACCCTCTCTCCCCCTGAGAATCTGTGTGTGTGTGTGTGTGTGTGTGTGTGTGTGTGTGTGTGTGTAGGAGGGGGAGGAGTAATTGGTTATATCTGTGGCCTGTGGAAAAGGGGTTTCTCCTCTTCTGAGGAAGTTAAAAGTCTTTCCTCTCTTACAATTTCTTTTTTCTAAAAGCTGTTACACAAAGGGAAGGCGCCCCAATAATTCAAAGCCCACTGAGTTAGCATTGTCTTTTTAAAGCCAACTAGCAGCAGGGACCTTTCCGCACACCAAGCTGGTGGAGAGAAAGGTGAGGAGGATGAATGGGGTGGGAAAGGGTTGCCTTTGGCCTCCAGCAGAAGCATTCTTTCCTGGTGTGCTGCTCCCCTTCAGCAAATGCTTCTCCTTTCCATTGTGTTCCAACCACTCTCTCTCTGACCTCCTAACCAAGTCATTAAAGCTGCTGCCAAAGCAGAGATCCACGGAGCCTCTGTCTCTGCCACCACCCCTCGACCCTGACTGAGAAAGGGCATCGTGGGGCTAGCATGGTCACCCGCAAGTTCCACTCCAGTGTCTCCAGGCACGTGGAAGTCTGGTCAATTGTCTCTACTCAGCTTTGTCTTCTTCCCACGTGCCCGATCCCTATCCCGAAGGAGCCGTTCCATGGGTTCCACTGCCGCCGGGCCCACTCTGCCAGTGGGCGCGGGGAAGGGCGTAGAGCGGGCTGTGTTCAGAAGCCTGCACCTGGCTGTGAGCGCGAGGTGAGCGCCAACAAAGTCCTCACTGTGGCTCCGGGTCCCAACGCCCCAGTGAAGCCAGGTCACTCACAACTCAGGGAGAGTCATGTTGCGGTGGTTCTGCCTTCTGGGGCGAAACGCGGCTTCGCGGTTCTCGCTTCAGCCGTGCAGATCCGCGCCTGAGACCCCGGTTCTTTTTTTTTTAAATCCACACCAAATCCTGCAAATGTTTCCCTTCAAGCCAGCAGGCTGGGGTGGCAGGACTTTTCTATGGATGACTGTAAGTTCTTTAAAACGATTTTTAAAACACACACACACACACACACACACACACACACACACACACACACACGTCCCCCGAAGAACGAAGAGGATGAAAATACGAGGAAGATAAAAATCACACCTGGATTTCACGGATTTTTTAGAACTCGGTGGGTTGAAATTCTACTCCATTAAATCCCACAGCGCCGGAATGCTTTGAATCCAAGGGTAGTATTTGCAGGTTTAATGTAGCACCCTACTTCAGAGGCACTCGGGATCCGATTTGTCCTTCCTTAACACCATCCTGCCTAGATGGCAATTTGCTTTACACAGACGCATTTCACAAAAGAGCCCACCCCTCAAACCCCTTTGCTGGGCTGGGGGCTGGAGATAACAAAAGAGCTCTGGGAGGTAATAATTACAGTCATTAGTTCACAAAAGAGGCGGCCTCCAACTGGGAAGGGGAGGCGGCCAGCTCTGGGGGAAAAGCTTTCCAAGGGGAGAGAGAGAGACCCACACTCCTGCGCGGCTCGCAGGCCGCTCCCTTGGCTGACCTATTTTTTATTATTATTATTATTTTTTTTTGTATGTGGATTATCCAGAGATCGCGTCGGAGGCTCGCCTAGGAAGCATGTATGGGACAGGTTTTCCCTTATGCCCTTCCTGTGTTTACATGTCGAAGGAGAGAGAAAGAAGGGAGATGGGAAAAGATTCAAAACAAATAAATACAACCCCCCCCCCCCCCAAAACATTGTGTTACACCAACAGTTTGCCATTCTGGAGCGCGGGTGTGTGTTGGGGGGAGTGTTAGGCATATTCTCTTCCTTTCCCCTGGGCTCAGTACTTTTCCATTACCCACTGCTTGGGGATCTCGCGATTTTCCTATTATTCCCATTTCAGATTTTGCAAGACATGACGAATGGCTTCCAGTTTCCAGTAAACCGCCTCTCCCAGTTTGCAGTGGACTGCTTCCCCCAGCTCCCCGCTATCACCTGGCACCTGGTCCGACCGGTTACTCTGACCTGCACAGGAAATATAAATATTCCGCCTTTCCTACACTTGCTCGCTGACAGGACACACTAGTCTCAGCCCCTGTGAGAGAATGTAATAGATTTTAAACCCGCACAAAGTCTTTTGGCCTGGATCCTGTCTGCACGGACCTAACAGAGGAGATTTAAGGAAGGGGTCATTGCCTCCCTTTCCAGCCAGGCTGCCAAGGCTCTGGTCTGCGGAGACCAGCCGGGAAGCCTGGGTGGACAAAGGGGCCTGGCAGGAAGCTTGGCCTTTACTCCTAGACCCCGTCTCGGCAGCCTGAGCCCTGGTTAGGGGCGGAAGGCTGGGCCACCTTCGGTTACGGAGATCGCTTGCTTCCGAGACCTGCCAGTGAGCGGTGTCCTGCGGAGCAGGTTTCCTGGGTGTCTGGGCCCGGCCGCGCCCGCTGCAGCTGGGGCGTGGTCCGTACAGCCTCGGGTCATAACCCAGGGGGTGGCCGAGGCTCGAACCGGGGAAAGAGCAGGCCTAGATAGAATGCACTTGGCCTTGGATCACAGCCCTGTCTCAGCACGAGGTTGCTCCTCGAGCGCGTCTCATTTGTAAAATTAAAGAGTTTGCATGCGTTGTCTCTGGGAACCTGTGGGCGCCCATTCTTTGGGATGGAGAAAACCGTTCATGTAGGTGACCAAGCGGTAAAACAAACGTGATCAGCCAGCGCATGGGCCATTACCTTCTCCCCGAATATTTCCCCAAAGTCTCCTGTCTCTGGGCCATGGATGTAGGAGCTGGGGCAAGGCAGACAGGATAAGCCCCATTCTAGCCAGAACCCTCCCTCCAATCAGTCCTCAAGGAAACCACAGCGCCATCTTCCTTATGCCCGCTCCAGGTCTCAAAGACACGGAGGATATCAGTTTCCTAGAAAAGCTCAACCATACTTCAAAATAAAAAACATCGACCCAGGAAGACAAACCTCTGCCCCTCTGACCATCCACTGCCCTCCTCCATCTTAATATATATATTTCACCAACAGGTTGCTATATATGTGTGTGTGTGTGTGTGTGTGTGTGTGTGTGTATATATATATATATATATATATATATATATATATATATATATATGGCATAATATTCTAATTAAACCGGAGGTTTTTCAGGGATAAAACCAGGGGGGGGGGCTGCAGCAGAGGCCTCTGGGTGGGGGGCAGGGTCAATGCTCTGGCACGAATTTCGAATTTCAGAGAGGAAGGGAGAGGGAGAGATATTAACATCAATGATGAGAAAGAATCATTGATTGGCTGAAACCAGTTTGGCTCAGTGGATAGAGTGTAGGCCTGCGGACTGAGGGGTCCCAGGTTTGATTCCCAGGTTCCATTCCGGTCAAGGGCATGTACCTTTGTTGCAGGCACATCCCCAGTGGGGAGTGTGCAGGAGGCAGCTGATCGATGTTTCTCTCTCATTGATGTTTCTAACTGTCTATCCCTCTCCCTTCCTCTCTGTAAAAAATAAATAAAATATGTTTAAAAAAAGAATAATTAAAAAAAGGAATCATTGATTGGTTGCCTCCTGCACGTCCCCTACTGGGGACGGAGCCTGCAACCTAAGCATGTGCCCTTGACTCCAATAGAACTTGGGACCCTTTAATCCTTAAGCCAATGCCCTATCCATTGAGCCAAACTAGTTAGGCCCCCTCCATCTTAAATTCACCAAATTTC